TTACTATTGGTGTCAGTGGCCTAGGCGTTACGAACCCGATTCGTAATGCCAGGCTACCCTATTTAATCCTAGCCGCGATTAATCAGACAATAGTTGTATCGAGAGCTGTTCTTTGAGGGAGAAATGGAAAACTACTGAATGTAAATGTGTCTAATGAAACCAAACACTTGAAAAAAATGCTTTTTTTTTGTTTGTTCTGCAACGTCCTGTGAAATATAAACACGCAAACATATAATAATAAAAATAATAATAATAATAATAATAACAACAACACCAACTAAGGGCTCGATGTTACAACTGGTGATGTCTCGGTCAAGGAAAATCTCTGATGTTACAACCGGTGATGTATCGGTCAAGGAAATTCTCTGATGTTACCACCGGTGATGTATCGGTCAAGTGAATTCTCTGATGTTACAACTTGTGATGTATCGGTCAAGGGAATTCTCTGATGTTACAACCGGCGATGTCTCGGTCAAGTAAATTCTCTGATGTTACATCCGGCGATGTCTCGGTCAAGGAAATTCTCTGATGTTACAACTGGTGATGTCTCGGTCAAGGACAGTCCCAGATGTTTCAACTGGGATTTTATCTCGGTCAAGGAAAGTCCCCGGTGTGCGACAGCATAAGACAGTTAGATCAGCTAGCTGGACTGTGCAAACACTGTGATCTGATATTATATTGTTTACAGCCCGTTCCAGAAGTCCTGCCGAACTTTTAAAAAAAAAAACTCTCATTCAGTAAAGGTTTGCTTTCAGTTGTTGACACGTGTTTGACTAGTCACGTGATAGCAAGAGAGGGCACTAGACGGAGAGGATAGATTATCTACACAGTGGCATGGTGGAAGAACTTGAATCGACTTGAGCCAAGATACCAATGATTGAGAACATGAGGATAGATTATCTACACAGTGGCATGGTGGAAGAGCTTGAATCGACTTGAGCCAAGATACCAACGACTGAGAACATGTGGATAGATTATCTACACAGTGGCACGGTGGAAGAACTTGAATCAACTTGAGCCAAGATACCAACGACTGAGAACATGTGGATAGATTACACAGTGGCACGGGAATCGGCTTGGACAAATAAATCAGTGATTGACATCTGGGTAATATGGTCATACGACAATTCACTGTTCTTAGAGCCCTCGGTGGCTTAGTTGTTGCGAGTCCAACTAGTAACTTCTACGTGCCGCGATCGAAACCCACTGCTGTCTGCATGGAACTTTATCGTGGTATGGGGCGTCGCAGGTCGACCCAGACTAAAATGGGTACCAGGATGTATGACCTAGGGAAGTAAAAACAGCCGGTGTAATGCTGACCACATTACCCTCCTAGTGCGGATTGGTCTCTAAAAATATGGGTGCTTTTCCCGTATGCCCGATGCGCATAAGGTGTGAAAAGTGATCTTTACTTTATGTTTCTGTTCATGCATGTCTGGTAGTCTGTGTGTTGACTTTTGGCTGGAGTTGACCTTTCGCACGTAGATATATTTTTATCTGAAACAGTGATCTTATCACTGCTGTCACTAATCAGAATCAAGATAGAATTGCCAAGAGCGCAAACTAGCAAACAAACAGATAAGTTATTGAGCCAAAACTAGCAAACAAACAGATAAGTTATTGAGCCAAAACTAGCAAACAAACAGATAAGTTATTGAGCGCAAACTAGCAAACAAACAGACAAGTTATTGAGCCCAAACTAGCAAACAAACAGATAAGTTATTGAGCCAAAACTAGCAAACAAACAGATAAGTTATTGAGCGCAAACTAGCAAACAAACAGACAAGTTATTTAACTATGTACACAAGGAGTTAACATAAGATTATAGACAACTAAACACAGAACAGAAGCTAGAACGTATAAATAATGTATTCAAAGATTACAAGTGTACAAAAACCGAAGACAACTGGGGACAGTGGCAATTACCAGCGGCTCCCAGATATTCAATGTGAACTTCATTGGCCAAGCTGTTCGTCCACTCATTAGAAGCACAGCTTACGTGTAACAATCTCCAATCAGGCATATGTCAATGCTTACATGTAACAATCTCCACTCAAGCTTACATCAGTGCTTACATGTAACAATCTCCACTCAAGCTTACATCAGTGCTTACATGTAACAATCTCCACTCAAGTTTACATCAGTGCTTACATGTAACAATCTGCACTCAAGTTTACATCAGTGCTTACATGTAACAATCTGCACTCAAGTTTACATCAGTGCTTACATGTAACAATCTGCACTCAAGTTTACATCAATGCTTATATGTAACAATCTCCACTCAAGCTTACATCAGTGCTTCCATGTAACAATCTCCACTCAAGCTTACATCAGTGCTTACATGTAACAATCTCCACTCAAGCTTACATCAGTGCTTACATGTAACAATCTCCACTCAAGTTTACATCAGTGCTTACATGTAACAATCTCCACTCAAGCTGACATCAGTGCTTACATGTAACAATCTCCACTCAAGCTTACATCAGTGCTTACATGTAACAATCTCCACTTAAGCTTACATCAGTGCTTCCATGTAACAATCTCCACTTAAGCTTACATCAGTGCTTCCATGTAACAATCTCCACTCAAGCTTACATCAGTGCTTCCATGTAACAATCTCCACTCAAGCTTACATCAGTGCTTCCATGTAACAATCTCCACTCAAGCTTACATCAGTGCTTCCATGTAACAATCTCCACTCAAGCTTTCATCAGTGCTTACATGTAACAATCTCCACTCAAGCTTACATCAGTGCTTCCATGTAACAATCTCCACTCAAGCTTACATCAGTGCTTACATGTAACAATCTCCACTCAAGCTTACATCAGTGCTTACATGTAACAATCTCCACTCAAGCTTACACCAGTGCTTCCATGTAACAATCTCCACTCAAGCTTACATCAGTGCTTACATGTAACAATCTCCACTCAAGCTTACATCAGTGCTTACATCTAACAATCTCCACTCAAGCTTACACCAGTGCTTCCATGTAACAATCTCCACTCAAGCTTACATCAGTGCTTACATGTAACAATCTCCACTCAAGTTTACATCAGTGCTTACATGTAACAATCTCCACTCAAGCTTACATCAGTGCTTACATCTAACAATCTTCACTCATACTTACATCAATGTTTGTATGTAACATACAATACTTGCATATAGTAATCTCCACTCATGCATGTAGCAATCTCCACTCAGGCATATGTCAATGCTTACATGTAACAATCTCCACTCAAGCATATGTCAATGCTTTCATGTAACAATATCCACTCAGGCATATGTCAATGCTTACATGTAACAATATCCACTCAGGCATATGTCAATGCTTACATGTAACAATATCCAATCAGGCATATGTCAATGCTTACATGTAACAATCTCCACTCAAGCATATGTCAATGCTTACATGTAACAATATCCACTCAGGCATATGTCAATGCTTACATGTAACAATATCCAATCAGGCATATGTCAATGCTTACATGTAGCAATCTCCACTCAAGCATATGTCAATGCTTACATGTAACAATCTCCACTTACACTGACATCAATTCTTGCATGTAACTATATCCGCTTACACTGACATCAATTCTTGCATGTAACACTCTCCACTTACACTGACAACAATTCTTGCATGTAACACTCTCCACTTACACTGACATCAATTCTTGCATGTAACAAACTTCACTTACACTGACATCAATTATTGCATGTAACAATCTCCACTTACACTGACATCAATTCTTGCATGTAGCAATCTCCACTTACACTGACATCAATTCTTGCATGTAGCAATCTCCACTTACACAGACATCAATTCTTGCATGTAACACTCTCCACTTAGGCTGACATCAATTCTTGCATGTAACACTCTCCACTTACACTGACATCAATTCTTGCATGTAACTATATCCGCTTACACTGACATCAATTCTTGCATGTAACACTCTCCACTTACACTGACATCAATTCTTGCATGTAACACTCTCCACTTACACTGACATCAATTCTTGCATGTAACAAACTTCACTTACACTGACATCAATTATTGCATGTAACAATCTCCACTTACACTGACATCAATTCTTGCATGTAGCAATCTCCACTTACACTGACATCAATTCTTGCATGTAGCAATCTCCACTTACACTGACATCAATTCTTGCATGTAGCAATCTCCACTTACACTGACATCAATTCTTGCATGTAGCAATCTCCACTTACACTGACATCAATTCTTGCATGTAACACTCTCCACTTACACTGACATCAATTCTTGCAAATAAAAATTTTTCACTCAAAGCTGACATCAGTTCTTGCATGTAACAATCTCCACTCAGGCTGACATCAATTCTCGCATCACTTATGTAATTCTCTCATTGGGTATGTAATTCTCTCATTGGTTATGTAATTCTCTCATCTTTTATGTAATGCTTTCATCTGTTGTGTAATGCTCTCATCTGTTTTGTAATGTTTTCCTCTGTTATGTAATGCTTTCATCTGTTATGTAATGCTTTCATCCGTTGTGTAATGCTCTCATCTGTTATTTAATACTCTCCTTTGTTATGTAATGCTTTCATCTGTTGTGTAATGTTTTCATCTGTTGTGTAATGCTCTCATCTTTTGTGTAAGTTACAGGCACAATGGCATCTATATTACATCAACAGTTTCATAGTTAATGATTCCGTGGAGCATCCAGAGAGGGTGACTCACGGTGTCACTTCAGTTGCCTAAACATTAGACTGAGTCCAGTATGGTGTACCCAGTTCTCTCTCCCCCCCCCCCCCCCCACCCCTACCCGCAAACAGCCACAGATAGTCTGAGAAGTTCAGCAACAAGAATCAAGTCCATCTCAACATTTCCTATGATGAGCACTTGCCCAACTCCACCAGGAGGCTGTGGGACATGTTTTGAAAATGTTCAGTTCTTCCACAGGATACAGTATCCAGATAAATACATGACAGATAATTTAAAATTGAATTATTTACACCTGCACCTCACACGTGACTCAGTGGGTGAGTCTTTGCTGGCTGGTAGCTGGTATCACTGTACTTTCTAATCTGGTCCTTGTTTTTGCAACAAATTTTCCCATAAAAAAACTTTCTCCAGGACTCCAGAGTTTTCCCCGACCAAATCCAGAAACCAGAAGTTGTGCCAATGACCAGGCACATGAAGTACTTGAGCATGAACACAGTGTAATCAGGGGCGGCCGGGTTGTGGTAGCATGGACACGTGCGTGTGGCCTCCCAACGCTCCCTCAGGTGTTGCTCATAGAAGTAGCAAGAGATGACGATTGTGGCGGGCACTGTGTACAGAACAGAGAAGACCCCGATCCTCACCATCAGCTGCTCCAGCTTGTCGGCTGTCCCCTGACCTTCCTGTTTGATCGTGTTTCTGATTCTGAAGAGCGAGACGAATCCCGCCAGGAGGAAAGACGTCCCGATGATGAGGTAGACGAACAGAGGCGCCAGAACGAACCCTCGCAGATTATCCAAACTTTGATTGCCAACGAAACATATCCCGATGATTGGATCACCGTCTACCGAGGACATGGCGAGGACGGCAATGCTTTTGACGCTGGGGATTAGCCAGGCTGCCAAATGGAAATACTGTGAGTAACTGGCTATCGCTTCCTGACCCCATTTTAAACCTGCAGCCAGGAACCAGGTGAAGGACAGGATCACCCACCAAATAGAAGATGCCATTCCGAAGAAGTAGATGAGCAGGAACACAACAGTGCAGACTGCTGGTCCCGTTGTTTCATACCGGATAGCTCCCGACTCACAAGCAACACCTTCATGTCCAACGATGAGCCGGATAATATATCCCAGGCTGACCATGAAATAGCAGGCGCTGAGGAAGATGATGGGTCTCTCGGGATACGTGAACCTCTTCATATCCACGAAGAAAGTAGACACGGTCATGGATGTAGAGATGCAACACAGGATGGCCCAGAGACCCACCCAGTAGGTGGCGAAAATCTTCTCCTGGTCACCGAAGTAAGGACTGTAGCAATTGATGGCGCAGTTGGCCACTGATCCGGTTCGAATCTTGTTGTAGTAACTACTGGACGACTCAGATATCATCTGTGGAAGAGAGAGTATACGGTGTTATGTGTAACCACATGGAGAGACATGAAGAGAGACAGTAGTATACAGTGTTATGTGTAAGCACATGGAGAGACATGAAGAGAGAGTAGACAGTGTTATGTGTAACCTCATGGAGAGACATGAAGAGACAGAATACAGTGTTATGTGTAACCTCATGGAGAGACATGAAGAGAGACAGTATACAGTGTTATGTCTAAGCACATGGAGAGACATGAAGAGAGAGTAGACAGTGTTATGTGTAACCTCATGGAGAGACATGAAGAGACAGAATACAGTGTTATGTGTAACCTCATGGAGAGACATGAAGAGAGAGTAGACAGTGTTATGTGTAACCTCATGGAGAGACATGAAGAGACAGAATACAGTGTTATGTGTAAGCACGTGGAGAGACATGAAGAGAGAGTAGACAGTGTTATGTGTAACCTCATGGAGAGACATGAAGAGAGACAGTATACAGTGTTATGTGTAAGCACATGGAGAGACATGAAGAGAGAGTAGACAGTGTTATGTGTAACCTCATGGAGAGACATGAAGAGAGAGTAGACAGTGTTATGTGTAACCTCATGGAGAGACATGAAGAGACAGAATACAGTGTTATGTGTAACCACATGGACAGACATGAAGAGAGAGTAGACAGTGTTATGTGTAAGCACATGGAGAGACATGAAGAGAGAGTAGACAGTGTTATGTGTAACCTCATGGAGAGACATGAAGAGACAGAATACAGTGTTATGTGTAACCACATGGACAGACATGAAGAGAGAGTAGACAGTGTTATGTGCAACCTCATGGAGAGACATGAAGAGACAGAATACAGTGTTATGTGTAACCACATGGACAGACATGAAGAGAGAGAGAGTATACAGTGTTATGTGTAACCACATGGACAGACATGAAGAGAGAGAGAGAGAGTATACAGTGTTATGTGTAACCGCATGGACAGACATGAATATAGAGTAGACAGTGTTATGTGTAACCACATGGACAGACATGAAGAGAGAGAGTATACAGTGTTATGTGTAACCACATGGACAGACATGAATATAGAGTGGACAGTGTTATGTGTAACCGCATGGAGAGACACGAAGAGAGAGTATACAGTGTTATGTGTAACCTCATGGAAAGACACAAAGAGAGAGTATACAGTTTTATGTGTAACCACATGGAGAGACATGAAGATAGAGTAGACAGTGTTGTGTAACCACATGGAGAGACATGAAGAGAGAGAGAGAGAGAGTATACAGTGTTATGTGTAACTGTGTGAAAAGACACAAAGAGAGAGTATACAGTGTTATGTGTAACCGCATGAAATGACACAAAGAGACAGTATACAGTGTTGTGTGTAACAGCATGGAAATACATGAAAAGAGAGAATGTAGTGTAGAAAGACACAAAGAGAGAGTATACAGTGTTATGTGTAACTGTGTGGAAAGACACAAAGAGAGAGTATACAGTGTTATGTGTAACTGTGTGGAAAGACACAAAGAGAGAGTATACAGTGTTATGTGTAACTGTGTGGAAAGACACAAAGAGAGAGTATACAGTGTTATGTGTAACTGTGTGGAAAGACACAAAGAGAGAGTATACAGTGTTATGTGTAACTGTGTGGAAAGACACAAAGAGAGAGAGTATACAGTGTTATGTGTAACTGTGTGGAAAGACACAAAGAGAGAGTATACAGTGTTATGTGTAACTGTGTGGAAAGACACAAAGAGAGAGTATACAGTGTTATGTGTAAAAAGACACAAAGAGAGAGTATACAGTGTTATGTGTAACTGTGTGGAAAGACACAAAGAGAGAGTATACAGTGTTATGTGTAACTGTGTGGAAAGACACAAAGAGAGAGTATACAGTGTTATGTGTAACTGTGTGGAAAGACACAAAGAGAGAGTATACAGTGTTATGTGTAACTGTGTGGAAAGACACAAAGAGAGAGTATACAGTGTTATGTGTAACTGTGTGGAAAGACAGACAAAGAGAGAGTATACAGTGTTATGTGTAACTGTGTGGAAAGACACAAAGAGAGAGTATACAGTGTTATGTGTAACTGTGTGGAAAGACACAAAGAGAGAGTATACAGTGTTATGTGTAACTGTGTGGAAAGACACAAAGAGAGAGTATACAGTGTTATGTGTAACTGTGTGGAAAGACACAAAGAGAGAGTATACAGTGTTATGTGTAAAGACACAAAGAGAGAGTGTGTGGAAAGACACAAAGAGAGAGTATACAGTGTTATGTGTAACCGCATGTGAAAGACACAAAGAGAGAGTATACAGTGTTATGTGTAACCGCATGGAAAGACACAAAGACACAAAGTGTAGAGAGTATACAGTGTTATGTGTAACTGTGTGGAAAGACACAAAGAGAGAGTATACAGTGTTATGTGTAACCGCATGGAAAGACACAAAGAGAGTAGAGTATACAAAGAGTTATACAGTGTAACTGTGTGGAAAGACACAAAGAGAGAGTATACAGTGTTATGTGTAACTGTGGAAAGACACAAAGAGAGAGTATACAGTGTTATGTGTAACCGCATGGAAAGACAGTGTTATGTGTAACAAAGACACAAAGAGAGAGTATACAGTGTTATGTGTAACTGTGTGTAAAAAAGACACAAAGAGAGAGTATACAGTGTTATGTGTAACTGTGTGGAAAGACACAAAGAGAGAGTATACAGTGTTATGTGTAACCGCATGGAAAGACACAAAGAGAGAGTATACAGTGTTATGTGTAACTGTGAAAAGACACAAAAGAGACACAAAGAGAGAGTATACAGTGTTATGTGTAACTGTGTGGAAAGACACAAAGAGAGAGTATACAGTGTTATGTGTAACTGTGTGGAAAGACACAAAGAGAGAGTATACAGTGTTATGTGTAACTGTGTGGAAAGACACAAAGAGAGAGTATACAGTGTTATGTGTAACCGCATGGAAAGACACAAAGAGAGAGTATACAGTGTTATGTGTAACTGTGTGGAAAGACACAAAGAGAGAGTATACAGTGTTATGTGTAACTGTGTGGAAAGACACAAAGAGAGAGTATACAGTGTTATGTGTAACTGTGTGGAAAGACACAAAGAGAGAGTATACAGTGTTATGTGTAACTGTGTGGAAAGACACAAAGAGAGAGTATACAGTGTTATGTGTAACTGTGTGGAAAGACACAAAGAGAGAGTATACAGTGTTATGTGTAACTGTGTGGAAAGACACAAAGAGAGAGTATACAGTGTTATGTGTAACTGTGTGGAAAGACACAAAGAGAGAGTATACAGTGTTATGTGTAACTGTGTGGAAAGACACAAAGAGAGAGTATACAGTGTTATGTGTGACTGTGTGGAAAGACACAAAGAGAGAGTATACAGTGTTATGTGTAACTGTGTGGAAAGACACAAAGAGAGAGTATACAGTGTTATGTGTAACTGTGTGGAAAGACACAAAGAGAGAGTATACAGTGTTATGTGTAACTGTGTGGAAAGACACAAAGAGAGAGTATACAGTGTTATGTGTAACTGTGTGGAAAGACACAAAGAGAGAGTATACAGTGTTATGTGTAACTGTGTGGAAAGACACAAAGAGAGAGTATACAGTGTTATGTGTAACTGTGTGGAAAGACACAAAGAGAGAGTATACAGTGTTATGTGTAACTGTGTGGAAAGACACAAAGAGAGAGAGTATACAGTTTTATGTGTAACTGTGTGGAAAGACACAAAGAGAGAGTATACAGTGTTATGTGTAACTGTGTGGAAAGACACAAAGAGAGAGTATACAGTGTTATGTGTGGAAAGACACAAAGAGAGAGTATACAGTGTTATGTGTAACTGTGTGGAAAGACACAAAGAGAGAGTATACAGTGTTATGAGTAGAGTATACAGTGTTATGTGTAACTGCATGGAAAGACACAAAGAGAGAGTATACAGTGTTATGTAACTGTAAAGACACAAAGAAAGACACAAAGAGAGATACAGTGTTATGTGTAACTGTGTGGAAAGACACAAAGAGAGAGTATACAGTGTTATGTGTAACTGTGTGGAAGTGTGTTATGTGTGTAACCGTGTGGAAAGACACAAAGAGAGAGTATACAGTGTTATGTGTAACTGTGTGGAAAGACACAAAGAGAGAGTATACAGTGTTATGTGTAACTGTGTGGAAAGACACAAAGAGAGAGTATACAGTGTTATGTGTAACCGCATGGAAAGACACAAAGAGAGAGTATACAGTGTTATGTGTAACCGCATGGAAAGACACAAAGAGAGAGTATACAGTGTTATGTGTAACTGTGTGGAAAGACACAAAGAGAGAGTATACAGTGTTATGTGTAACTGTGTGGAAAGACACAAAGAGAGAGTATACAGTGTTATGTGTAACCGCATGGAAAGACACAAAGAGAGAGTATACAGTGTTATGTGTAACCGAGAGAGTATGTGTTAAACTGCACACAAAGAGAGAGTATACAGTGTTATGTGTAACTGCATGGAAAGACACAAAGAGAGAGTATACAGTGTTATGTGTAATGGAAAGACACAAAGAGAGTAGTATACAGTGTTATGTGTAATGTGTAACCGCATGGAAAGACACAAAGAGAGAGTATACAGTGTTATGTGTAACTGTGTGGAAAGACACAAAGAGAGAGTATACAGTGTTATGTGTAACCGCATGGAAAGACACAAAGAGAGAGTATACAGTGTTATGTGTAACTGCATGGAAAGACACAAAGAGAGAGTATACAGTGTTATGTGTAACTGTGTGGAAAGACACAAAGAGAGAGTATACAGTGTTATGTGTAACTGCATGGAAAGACACACAAAGAGACACAAAAGAGAGAGTATACAGTGTTATGTGTAACTGCATGGAAAGACACAAAGAGAGAGTATACAGTGTTATGTGTAACCGCATGGAAAGACACAAAGAGAGAGTATACAGTGTTATGTGTAACTGTGTGGAAAGACACAAAGAGAGAGTATACAGTGTTATGTGTAA